GAATCATTTGAACCCATGAGGCAGAGGTTGCAGTGAGCCAAGATCACGCCACTGTACTCTAGCCTGGAGACAGAGCAAGACTGTCTCAACAACAACAAAAAAACAATGATTAGATGAAACCATTGTCTAGATAACACTCCTTTGCCGATTCTTTTCTTGGCACTCAGAAATGCCAGCATTCCCTGAAGACCTGCAGTCCCCATCCAGGGAGAGGCACAAAAACATGAAAATTATTAGTTTGTCACGTTGTACACTGAGTTTTCTGGTGGGTGGTTTTTATCTTCTTTAGGAAAGCTTAAAACAATATATATTTCATCCTACTGACAGAGTTAAGCTTGCTTCATCTGCTTAGTGTCCTGAAGAAATTTCCCAAGAGATTACAAGAAAATGTAGTTTCAACACCAGCAATGGCAGCAATATCCACAACTTGTTATGGAGATTTTATAAGCTTTTCTGTTTGAAAATCAGTTTCTAAAAATGAATTGGTTGCAATAAGGGAATGATAATTCTGCTTACATAGGGCAGTAGAGGAAAAGCTGGAAAAAGAACACAAGCAAACTTGAATGTTGATGCAGTTTTATTCATTCAGCAATTTATATAAAGATATAAATAGGAAGAGCCTATTTATAGGCCTGCCACCACCACCACCAGCACCCATGCATGCCACCCTTGGGATGAAGACTGATAGCAGAGGGATGCAAAATAATATTTCATGCAACTGGAAATCAAAAGCCTACAATAATAGCTATACTTATGTCAGACAAAATAGAGTTTAAGTCAAAACTACATAAAAATAGACAAAGAAAATCATTAAATGATGAAGAAATAAATTTAGCAAGAAAGTATGACAATTATAAATATATACACACCCAGCACTGGAGCACCAATGTAAAGCAAGTACAGTTAGAGCTCTATTATTTATTTATAATGCAAAACAACTGCAATTAAAGACAGAAATAGACCCTCAATGTAATAATAGTTGGAGAATTTGTGAAAGAAAAATAAATCTCGGGGCCCCAAAATCACTAAGCTAAAGGGAAAAGTCGAGCTGGGAATTGCTTAGGACAAACTTGCCTCCCATTCTATTCAATCACTCCTCTGCTCACTGAGATAAATGCACATCTCATTGCATTTAGCCTTTGGAGGGGCTAATCAGAAACTAAAAAGAATGCAAACATTTGTCAGTTACCTACCTGAGACCTGGAGCTCCCTCCCTCCTGCAAGTTGTCCTGCATTTGCTTCTAGTTATCCTGCCTTTCCAGACTGAATGGATGTTCAGCTTACATCTGCTAATTGAGGTCTCCTGTCTTCCCAAAATGTATAAAGCCAAACTGTGCTCTGAGCACCTTGGGTGCATATCATAAGGACCTCCTGAGGCTATGTCATGGGTATGCATCCTCAACCTTGACAAATAAACTTTTTAAATTAACGGAGACCTGTCTCAGATATTCAGGGTTCGCATTCTGTTAACCATGGAGGGATTCTGAATGGAGATGCCCCTTAAAGTTTGACACCTCCTGACATTGCTTGGTACCAGCATGAGCTAACTTTATGGCTCAAGCCAATAGGACAATTTGCTGAGGTCTGGGAGCAACCCCTCTAGATGATACAAGAGCTAGAAAAAAAATATTTAGGCAGTTAGTGAGGGTAAGAGAGTCCTCAGCAAGGTTTGCCTTTTAATAAAAAGCAGCCCCAAATCATTTCTCTTCTAACAAACAGCAGCCTGAAAAATCAAACTGCAGACAGAAAAGCAAGCTAGAATCCTGCGTGGGTGAGTGCCGGCAGCTGTGCCAATGGGAGAAGGCACCTGAGGGCCAGGCATGCTCAACATGAAGGCTCCATCTTCCCTTTCTTTGTCTACTACATGTACAGAAAGGAGCAGATAACATGGAGCTGGCCAGGAGAGGACCCATCTGCATAATAACAGATGAGGTGGGGCAGCCAGCTTTTTTGTGTACTATGTAAATGGCACAGCTGGTCCTACCAAGGGTCTCTCATCCCCTATGTAAATCAGACTATGCCTCCTCAAGCCCACCCATAAAACTTCACGCATTTCACCACGAAACCAGAAGACCCACTCGAGAGCCTTCTCTCTCTGGAGAGTTTTTTCTTTCTCTAGTCTATTAAACTTCCACTCTTAATCTCACTCTTGTGTGTTCGTGTCCTTGATTTCTTTGGTATCAAGCAGCAAACCTTGGGTATTACCCCAGATAAACAATGCTGCTTCACAGAGAATACCTGATCTCCCAAAATTTCGTTGAGATCTAAAGTTTATTTGCCGTACAACTCAATTTTTTGAAGTTTTACTTGCTTCCAACAAGGAAGGCAAGATTCCTGCTTCCATGATGATGGAGGGCAGCTAACTCCTTTATGGAGTTTAAGCGCATGCCCACCAGGGAAGATGAGTTTCAGTTTTTATCCCAACTGCAGGATGGCAGAGAGCTGTCTTCAGGTGGAGACTCGTCCCTAAGTAAGCTAAAGGGAGAGATAGACCCTCAATGTAATGACAATTATAAATTGTCTTAATTTCTCTCTACCAGTAGAGTGTTCAGTAATCATATTGGGGTTGTTTCTTCCAGACTTTCTTCCATCGGATTTGACTGATTCTACCTGACTGGGTCAAATCTGAATGAGAATTCCAAATTATGGGTAACAAAACCTCTCTACTTTGGCTAAAATGCCTCTCCACTGCAAAGAAAGGGTGAAAAACAAACACACACGCTTGGTTTCAGAGTTTGCTTCCTGTCCTAATAAACAAATATTTTTTCATTTTATTTTCTTTCACACTATACCTCATCTTCAGGCCAGGTAGAGGAAGCCGATCAAAATAAACTGCAATCCTGAATGCAGGGCCAGCAATGAAAGCTATTCAGCTCCTTAAGGCCGTGGCCTATCACAGAAGACGTGGGCGTGTGAGATTTTAAGAGGTGATTAGAGATAAATAAGTTTAGTTTCTCTATAAATTAATCCTTAACGTCAAAGTCACACTGATGCAAGACCAACATATGGACCCCTGTGTCAGATTAACAAGGTTTTCTTGAAGCATTAACTGACTCTTTAATACAGGTTATAAAAATTATAAGAGGCTTGTGGAAGTTATATCTTATGATTAGGGCTAAAATTGTATAGATTGTTTATAAAATATCAAGAAACAAATTTAATTGGCTTAATGCTGTTTTTATTAGGGGTTATTGTTTGGAAAATTGAGTCTCCTCTCTCAAAGAACCGAGGTTTTCACCTGTGTTTGAAATCCTTGCATTATCACTTTAGTTAAGTGAATGACTTATTTTACAATGACCTGTAACACCAAGTGTTTTAAATTTTTGATATTTGACAAACTTTCCAAAATCAAGATATAAATTATGTCTTTTTCTGACCTAATTAATCCTTGTGGAGTTAAAAATGTGCGTTGAATATTTGTTTCTGCCTTCTCTGTTCTGGTCCATTGGTCTATTTTTCTGTTTTCATTACACCACTATGCTGTTTTGGTTCAGCTTACAAGTGAGGTGGTCTGATGAGTCCAGCTTTGTTCTTTTTTTCTCAGGATTGCTTTGGCTGTTTTGGTTTTTCATGGTTTCATATGAATTTAAGAATTGCTTCTTCTGTATCTGTGAAGAATGTCATTTGTATTTTGATAAGGATCGCATTGAATCTGTAGATTGCTTTGAGTAGTACAAATACTGTAATAATTATAATCCTTCCAGTCTATGAACATGGGATATTTTTCCATTTGTTTCTGTGTTCTCTTCAATTTCTTTCATTAGTGTGTTACAGTTTTTATCGTAAAGCTCTTTCAACTCTTTGGTTAAATTCATTCCTAGGTGGGGTTTTTTTGTAGCTCTTATAAACTGCTTTCTTGATTTTTTTCAGATTGTTCACCATTAGCAAATAGAAATACTACTGATTTTTGTATGTTAACTGTGTATCCTGCTACTTTACTGAGTTCATTTAGCAATTCTAACAGTCTTTTTTTTTTTTTTTTTGAGACGGAGTTTCACTCTTGTTACCCAGGCTGGAGTGCAATGGCGCGATCTCGGCTCACCGCAACCTCCGCCTCCTGGGTTCAGGCAATTCTCCTGCCTCAGCCTCCCGAGTAGCTGGGATTACAGGCACGCGCCACCATGCCCAGCTAATTTTTTGTATTTTTAGTAGAGACGGGGTTTCACCATGTTGACCAGGATGGTCTCGATCTCTTGACCTCGTGATCCACCCACCTCGGCCTCCCAAAGTGCTGGGATTACAGGCGTGAGCCACCGCGCCCGGCCTCTAACAGTCTTATATTCTCTAAATATAAGATCATGTCATCTGCAAACAAGGACAATTTGACTTATTTTTTTTTTCTAATTTGGATGTCCTTTATTTCTTTCTCTTGTCTAATTGCTGGGGCTAGAACTTCCAGCACTGCATGGAATAAAAGTGATGACAGTGAACACCCTTGTCTAATACCAGATCTTGGAGGAGAGGCTGGATGTTAGCTGAATGTTAACTGTAGCATTGTCATATATGACCTTTATTGTTTTGAGGTGTGTTCCTTCTATACCCCATTTGTTAAAGGTTTATCATGAAAAGATAATGTAAGTATGTTAAGTGAAATAAGCCAGGTACAAAAAGATAAATATTGCATGTTTTCACTCATGTGGGAACTAACAGAGTTTATCTTATGGGTATAAAGAGTAGAATGGTGGTTAACAGAGATTAGTAAAGGTAGGGGGAGGTTGGTTAATGGATAACAAAAATACATTTCAATAGAATGACTAAATTCTTGTGTTCAATAGCCCAGTAGGCTATACTTTTTGTATCTCAAAATAGCTAAAAAAAAATAAAAAGATTTGTGACGTTCCCAATACAAAAAAAATTGATACAATTCTGAAGTGATGAATATCCCAATACCTGGATTTGATCATTATGTATTATATGCATGTGTCAAAATATCACATATACCCCATAAAATATATGTACAATTATTATGTATACATTAAAACACGTACGTTAAAGAGACATAGTGATAAGTGGTTTTTACTTCAGTTCAATTTATGTTTCAGATGAAAGGTTATTTGGAGAGTAGTTCCGAGTATAGTTCCAGAAACTTTTAGGTCAGACATGCTAAAAGCCCAGTCTTGAGCAGAAAGAAAGGAACCCACACCGCCCTCTTGTCCTCCTAGCTGGGGCAGTGAGAAAGGGTCAAAAGGGCTTGGGGTCTGATGGGTACAGTGCCCTATCCTATCCCGGTCCATGAGGCAGAGTTGTTGCTGGGAAAGGCTGACCCCTAGGGGCTGTTCTGCCTGTTGTCTTGAGTCCAGGTGTGGAGTGAATGCTCAACTCAATGGATTGTGAGCAGGGTGTTGCCAGTCACTTCCAGGAGGGGAGAGTGGAGATGCCTGGGCTAGAGTGGAGTGGGCTGTACAGGGGCCTAGGGGAAGTACTGGGGAGGCTTTCCTTCACCGGGGTGGGGGGTAGTTACATGGGCAAGTTTGTTGATACTCAGTCTGCACACATACATTTTATTGTATGTATATCCTGCATAACATATAATTTTGTGTACAATTTGATTGTAAATAAAACATGGGCAAAAGAGCTTTACAAATTATAAAGTATTGTGGAAAGACAGGGCATTACTTGTCATTAGTCCAACCATATGGTGTGAGTGTAGAATTCTGCAGAGTTTCTTAGATGTGGAAGCTTATCCTAGAGCCCAGGCTGCACTTAAGGAAGAATTGGCGGTAAGGGCTTTAGCTTAGGGGCAAAGTATGAGACCTGGCTCAGGCACCAGAGGACAGGAGTCTGGAGTTAAGCATGAACAGCCATGAGAAATAAAAGGGTTAGAGGCACTTTGCTCAGCTCCCTGCTCTGGGTAAGGAGGTGGGAGCCAGTAATGCATGAACATACATCTGTAGGGTACTAGTTTATCCTCCATTAATAGAATGAAAAGCATCGACCCCTGGGCAGGTACCCACTATTTCTGTTTCAGTTTCTTGCTGCCCTTTCTGCCGTCTTGCTGCCTTCGTCCTGCAGTCTAGGCAAGCTTCCCAGAATGGAAACCTAATCCCACTCTTTCTCACTTACTATACACTGATTCCCCATGGCCCTCAGTCTGAAGCCAGAGTCATCTACAGGGTTGTGGAGACCTCCTGGGATCTGACCCTGCTTGCCCTTCAGGCAGCCTCCCATGTGACCCTTTGCTGTTACCCAGATATGGCACTGCTGCCTCACATCAGCCTTGAGCACTGGGGCTTCCAGAACAGGTCAGTGGGTAGTGCAGACCATGCAGATAAGAGGCAGAGAAGCCCCCACTGCAGTCAGTGAGGCCATGGTGTCAGCAGCCACGGAGGGCCTAGGAAGGGTGAGTGAAGTGGACAGGAGATTCTGAGACTGAAACAGAAGCAGCTATAACCTTAGTGAGGTTGGCACCATCCGAGGGAGCTGAGCTGGGACAATTCCTTCCACATCAGCATTTCTTGTGGCCTCTCCTCTTCCTAGTGTGTTTACAGAGTACCTTCCAGACTACAATCTTCTGCTGTTAACATTTACTCCTCGCCAAGCTCTGTGCTAAGCTTTACAGGGAGACCTATGTCTACAGATCTCACAACCCCACATAGCAGACCTTAGCACTATCCCCATTACACAGGTGGGGATGCTAAGGCCCAGAGAGGAAAACTCTCTTGCTCAGGGTTCCAGGGCTGGAATTATGTGATGGATGCCACTGTCAGCCCTGGCCCCTAGGCCACTCTGCATAGCTCTCTGGACTCTCTTTCTCTCTCTCTCTTTTTAATTGTCAGCCAGCTGCAGACAGAGCACTTAACTGAGAGTCCAGTGAGTCATGAGGGATGGTGGAACCATGGGATAAAAGAAGCGTGACACCTGGTGGGGCACAGTGGCTCACGCCTGTAATCCCAGCACTTTGGGAGGCCGAGACGGGTGGATCACTTGAGGTCAGGCGTTCAAGACCAGCCTGACCAATATGGTGAAACCCCAACTCTACTAAAAATAAAAAATTAGCTGGGTGTGGTGGCGTGCGCCTGTAATCCCCGCTACTTGGAAGGCTGAGGCAGGAGAATCGCTCGAATTTGGGAGGCAGAGGTTGCAGTGAGCTGAGACTGTGCCACTGCACTACTGCAGCCTGGGTGACAGAGAGAGACTCTGTCTCAAAAAAAAAAAAAAGGAAGCATGATACCTTCCTTAGTCTTGGAGAACAGGAGAACAGCTGCTCCAGACAGATGCCCAACCAAGAGCATCTATATGGAGTTTAAGTTGCTGAGAAATGAAGTCACATTGTGTGATTGGTTGTTTTTTTTTACTAAGGTATGTTTGTTATAGCAGGCCTAGCCTATTATATTAAGAAGTATGGCCAGGCACGGTGGCTCATGCCTGTAATCCCAGTACTTTGTGAGGCCGAGGCAGGAGGATCACTGGGTCAGGAGTTTGAGACCAGCCTGGCCAACATGTTGAAACCCTATCTCTACTTAAAAAAAAATACAAAAATAATTAGCTGGGTGTGGTGATGTGTGCCTGTAATCCCAACTACTCAGGATGCTGAAGCAGGAGAATTCCTTGAACCCAGGAGACAAAGGTTGCAGTGAGCCATGATCAGAACACTGCACTGCAGCCTGGGCAACAGAGCAAACTTCAGCTAAAAAAAAAAAATAGTAATAGCAACTTCACAACGGAAAAACCTGAAAGAAAACCTTAACCAAGGTTAATGTCACCTGTAATATGACACACTGACATCATGCATCTCCTGACAAAATGCACTGAGACAGGCAGGTCGTCGCTGTAGTTTTCTTGCCAAAAATGCGTAACCTCAATCTGATCACAAGAAAATGTCAGATGAGCTCAGATTGGGAAACATTCTACAAAATGATTGGACAATACTCTTAATTATCGAGGTCTTGCTAGATTCCAGACTGTTACAGTTTGAAGGAGACTGAGGGGACATAACAATTAAATGCAAAGAATTGGATCCTGGACCAGGAAAAAAAGGACATTCATAAAAATTGGTGAAGTACAAATGAGTTCTGTTCCTTAACAATATTGTTTCAATGTACATTTCCTGATTTCAGTGACTGTATCGTGATTTTCTAAAATGTGAACATGAGGAGAAGCTGCCTGAAGGAGATAGTGGAACTCTCTGTACTAATTTTTGTAACTTTTCAGTAAGTCTAAAATTATGGTTCAAAATAACGAGCTGAAATAAGTAAGAGTGCACGTGGTGGTGTGTTGCCATCACATGACCTTCAGGTGGCTTTGTCCTTCCTGCACTGTCAGCAATCCTGGCTAAAGTTGACCCACGTCAGTTTACAAAAAGAAATTTACTATAGCAAACCCCATGTTTCCAAGTTCAGCTCAAAAGGCCCACCTTATTTACTAGACCTGGACCTCTGGGCATATTTGACTGAATGGTTTTCTTGTTCCCTTGGCATTTGATATGGAGTTAGTTACTCCGTGCTTGATTATAAGCTCTCGGACGGCTGGACTGGGGCTCTGTAGCCGCATTCCATTCCGCACAAGACTGAGAAAACTTCCTCAGCTGGGAATGGAGCCCAGCACTGCTGGCTGTCCAGTGAAGCCTAGACAGGAGGAGTATGCTGGTCTTTAGCAGCCCCTCCAAACCCTCCAGACTCTCTATGTCACCCAGGCTGATGGGTCTCTCTCTGTCACCAGTGTGACGGGTCGCTGAGGCCATATTGCTGTTTGTGACCACAATCGGGACAACTGTTGAAGAGCCGTATTTGTCCGGTACTAAATGAGCTTCCGTGTTGGTACTGGGCCGACACAAGGCCTTATAGGGTAGGCTGGGGGCTCCTTGTGTGTGAGAGTGGGGATGGCGGCATGTTGGTCCCCAGGGTGCAGGGCTGCAAGGTCAAAGGGTTGGCTTCTCAGAAGCAAGATGAGCAGGGAGCAGGGATCATCAAATCCCAGAAACAAAAGTGCACAGGTTTCAAAGGCAAGGACTCCACCTCTAGCCCGGAAAGGGGCAGTGACGCGAGAGGGCAGCTCAAGTGAAGCCCAGCCCAGAATGCATCAGGACGGATTTGGGCAGTGAAGGGACCAGCTCTTTAATAATGGAGTAACAAGGCACTGTCAGCTTTACCTGGAGATGTGTGACTCCCACTTACTGGGCAGTTAAACAGGACGGGCGGGGAAAGAGTGTGGCAGCACCCCAGTGGTACTGGGTGAAGTACAGCTCCAGCACCTCAGAGCAGCAGTCCCAGCAGAAGGAGGCTGGCGAGCTCCAGGAAGTTGAGGGAAGCTTTGGAGCCCATGTTGTGGGAAGCGGCCGGTGTAGACATGGGGGTTAAGCTGTTTGCATCTGTACACTCGAACTTTCGAAAGATGACTCCTCCAACCGTCTTATTTTCACCAGACAGGAACTGACAGGTGGAGTTACTGACATTGGAACAGCCTTTCAGCACGAGACGCTTAGACTCAGTGTCTGTGAATGCAAAGGAGACAGTAGGGACCCCACTCAGTCCTCTGTCCTTCCACCCATGCCCGTTCTTAGTTGGTCACCTGCAGCGTGGTGGCCCAGTGACCAGCAAAAGCTGGTCTGCTCCTGAAACCCACGCAGGAAGAAGGAGCCTGCACGTCCAGAGTCAAGACCACCATGAGGTCAGAGGCCTAGACTCCCACGTACACCTAACCCTGGAGGAAGCAGACTCCTGGAGGTGAGGGGCAAGCCCAGGCTAAAAGATGAGGGTCAGCACTGGACCTGAGACTCACACCTGTGTTCCTGTGCAGCTGGCAGGTAGAGAAGCCAGGTAGAGACTCACACCTGTGTTCCTGTGCAGCTGGCAGCTAGAGAAGCCAGGTAGAGACTCACTCCTGTGCTCCTGTGCAGCTGGCAGGTAGAGAAGCCAGGTAGAGACTCACTCCTGTGCTCCTGTGCAGCTGGCAGGTAGAGAAGCCAGGTAGAGACTCACTCCTGTGCTCCTGTGCAGCTGGCAGGTAGAGAAGCCAGGTAGAGACTCACTCCTGTGCTCCTGTGCAGCTGGCAGGTAGAGAAGCCAGGTAGAGACTCACTCCTGTGCTCCTGTGCAGCTGGCAGCTAGAGAAGCCAGGTAGAGACTCACTCCTGTGCTCCTGTGCAGCTGGCAGGTAGAGAAGCCAGGACAGGCTCAAAGGGCAGTTCTCTGTTCTCAATTCAGGACTTCCCTCTCCCCTTCCAGGGTTTGCTTTCAGTCCTCGCTCCTCTCGGGACCTGAGTTCTCCCTGCCTGAGTCTTCCCTGAGAAGAAGGAAAAACCACTTTTTTTTCAGCTGAGTAACTCTTTTCTTCACTCTGTGACTTATTTATCTATTCATAATCACACAATTGGAACATCAAAATATTTTCTGTCAACGTATGATTTGATTAAATGAAGCAGGGGGAAAAAAATCTCACCCCCAGTGGTACTCTCTTGAAATTCATGAAACTGGCCTTTCACAAACTGAAGCACTAGGCTTGATTTGCCAACAGCAGACTCTCCCAGAAGAAGGAAGGGATATAGGAGACCAGGGCACATCTCTGCCATGAATTGGAGTTCTGCTATGTTTAATCATGTTTTGATATTCAGGTTCTAGGACAAGGCCAAGGGCATTTGCAGAGAAGATGTAACCCTGATAGCAGCCACCATGTACTGAGCACTTTTACTGTGTGCCCCACCTGCTGTCAGTATGTACTGAGCACTTACTGTGTGCCCCACCTGCTGTCAGTATGTACTGAGCACTTACTGTGTGCCCCACCTGCTGTCAGCTGCAATTCTAACAGTCCTGGAAGCTGGGCCCCTCAGAGGAAAGGGACTCAAGGAGGTGAAGTGACTCCACCTGCCACTTGTCAGGGGCAGAGCCGCAATTTGAGTTCAAGGCTGGCTCTGGGACCAGGGAGGGTGGCTTGCGCCTGTAATCTTAGTACTTTGGGAGGCTGAGGTGAGAGGATTGCTTGAGGCCAAGAGTTTGAGACCACTGGGTAACATAGTGACAACCTGTTTCTATGGAAAATTACAAAATTATCCAGGGCTGGTGGTACATGCCTGTAGTCCCAGTACTTGGGAGGCTGGGGTGGGTGATTGGCTTGAGCCAGGAGTTGGAGGCAGCTGTGAGCTAGCGATCACACCACTGCATTCCAGCCAAGGTGACAGAGTGAGGTCCTGTCTCAAGCAATAACAAACACTGACTCTAAACTTGCTTGGAAAAGGAGTGAGAAACCTCCAAATGCTGTTTTATAGCAAGCATCAGTGCTGAAGTTTTTGTTTTGTCTTGAGATGCAGTCTCGCTCTGTAGCCCAGGCTGGAGTGCAGTGGCACGATCTTGGCTCACTGAAGGCTCCGTTTCTCAGGTTCATGCGATTCTCCTGCCTCAGCCTCCCTAGTAGCTGAGACTACAGGCACATGCCACCATGCCTGGCTACTTTTTGTATTTTTAGTAGAGACGGGCTTTCACCATGTTGGCCAGGCTGGTCTTGAACCCCTGACCTCAAGTGATCAGCCTGTTTCAGTCTTTCAAAGAGCTGGGATTACAGGCATGAGCCACCACACCTGGCCAGTGCTGAAGATTGATTTAGAGTGAGTTAGGAAGGTGTGTTTCATGGAACATTTGTACTGTATTAAAAGAATGATCTTGGACAAAAACAAACAAAAATACCCCTATATTTATGATAGCTTTAATTTGTTTGGCTTTCAGCTCAAGTCAAATCCTATAATAAAAAAGAAAATCTATCCCTTTTATCAGACCTGGGAACCAGATAAGCAGAGAGAGAAAATCCTTCTGATGTCATGTTGCCCTAGACACAGCTTTAGAATCAAAAGCCTAGCAGTTTAGACATCCCAGATATTTTAAAAGTGAAAGAGCTTTAAATGCATTTTACTAAGGGAAAGAAGGCATTTTGAAAATGCTACGTACTGTATGATTTCAACTACAGTATAGTGTGGAAGAGGCAAAACTGTGGAGGCAGTAAAAATATCAGTGGTTCATGCCTGTGATCCCAGCACTTTGGGAGGCTGAGGTGGGCAAATCACGAGGTCAAGAGATTGAGACCATCCTGGCAACATGATGAAACCCCGTCTCTACTAAAAATACAAAAATTAGCTGGGCGTGGTGGCGCGCACCCGCAGTCCCAGCTACTCAGGAGGTTGAGGCAAGAGAATTGCTTGAACCCAGGAGATGGAGGCTGCAGTGAGCCGAGATCGCACCACTGCACTCCAGCCTGGGTGACAAGAGCGAAACTCCGTCTCAACAATGACAACAAAAAGACCAGTGGTTGTCAGAGCTTAGAAGGGAGGGAGGGATGAGTAGGTGGAGCATAGAGGAGTTTTAAGGCAGTGGAAACACTCTGTATGGCACTACAATGGTGGCTATGCATCATTATACATTTGTCCAAACTCATGGAATATATACACCAAGAGGAAACCCTAAAGTAAGCCACCAACTTCGGGAGATAATGATGTATCAATGTAGCCTCAATGATTATAACAAATGTACCCCTCGGGGGGGATGTTAACAATGGAGAAGTTTATGCATGTTCGGAGCACGGGAAATTTATATAACTTCTGCCCAATTTTTCTGTGAATCTAAAACTATGCTGAACAATGAAGTGCATTAAAAAAATAATAAAGAGGTTCAGGGCTGGACACTGTGGCTCACACCTATGATCCCAGCACTTTGGGAGGCTGAGGTGGGAGGATCCCCTGAGGTCAGGCGTTTGAGACCAGCCTGGCCAACATGGGGAAACCCCGTCTCTACTGAAAATACAAAAAGCAGCCGAGTGTGGTGGTTCATGTCTGTAATCCCAGCTACTCAGGAAGCTGAGGCAGGAGAATCGCTTGAACCCAGGAGACGGAGGTTTCAGTGAGCTGAGATCACACCACTGCACTCCAGCCTGGGTGACAGAGTGAGACCCCATCTCAAAAAACAAAAAAAGAGGTTCAGGATAAGCATGGCCCTAGATGCCACTGCAAAATAAATGATTACGGGTAAACACTGATTCCTGATGCTATAATTGACACTTCACAAATATTCAAATCAAACTGTGCCTGGATATTAGTCTCTTAAACTCTTACTGCTTTGGCAGAGACTGGCTTGTTGTTTATTTTAGCTTCATGCCTCTTTCCTTCCTTCTGGGTCACACTAGTCCACGTTCTCAGCCTCCCTTACAGCCGAGATGGCTATCTTACTGGGCTCTAGTCAATGGACTGTGGAAGGGAGTGATTCATTCACATCCAGGCCTAACCCATAAAATCCCTTCTGCCTTCCTTCACCACCTCTCTTTTCTACTGCTGGCAAGATGCAAAGGACAGAGCACAGAGCTGCCAAGACTTGGTGGGTGGGGGCCAGAGCAACAAGACAGAAGGAGCCCATGCCTCAAACTCTGCAATGAACTGCTCCGGCAAGAGATAAATATCGATTGTATTGAACATAGGCTTTGGAGATTGTTCTTCAACTCTTTAACTAGTGAAGGTTTCTAAACTGTCTTGGCTTTCATTTCTAAGACAGCATGTACTGAGAGATGGAGTCCACATAAATGAAAGTTCTTTGGGGTCCTCAATAATTTTTAAGACACAGAGTTATAGCAGAGGGCCTGAGATCACACAATTTGAGAATGACTGATGGGCACTAATGCCCTCTCACACAGCCTGAAGCACTCGTACTGTCTGTCTTCACTAAGAAAGAGGGGAAGCATGGCGGAAGTGCTGTTTTGCCCCTCTGTTTCCTACATATCGCTGTGAGTCAGAGGTTAATGCCATCCGGATATGCACTCAAGTGCCTGCACTTGCAATGTCCCCCCAAGGGAAAGGAGAACAGATGAGAAAGGAAGAGCCAGGGCTGGGAGGACACAGGAGGCTGCCCGCAAGGCCAGCACCCACCCAGGGCATCGCTGGTGCTGTTAACAGCAATTGACTAACCTTAACAAATTTATTAATCTGTAACTATTTGGGCAAATGTTAGAAATGTGTATTGTACAATGGTTAGTACCAAATTGCTTTCGTAGAAAAGGACAATTGGTTGGACTTTAAAACCCAATTTGGGCTGGGCGCGGTGGCTCACACCTGTAATCCCAGCACTTTGGGAGGCCGAGGCGGGTGGATCACAAGGTCAAGAGTTCGGGACCAACCTGGTCAACAAGGTGAAACCCTGTCTCTACTAAAAATACAAAAATTAGCTGGGCATGGTGGTGCATGCCTGTAATCGCAGCTACTCAGGAGGCTGAGGCAGGAGAATTGCTTGAACCCAGGAGGCGGAGGTTGCGGTGAGCCGAGATCATGCCATTGCACTCCAGCCTGGGTAACAACAGCAAAACTCCGTCTCAAAAAAAAAAAAAAAAAACCAATTTGACTCTTTCTGCCAGGTGATCCATGCTACCAAAAGCCAACACCTCTTAGTGACAAGTAAAGAAGAAAAGCGTAGATATAAAAGGAAATAAAAGTTGCACCCACCCTCACCTATGCAGTAATGCAACCTAGTGAAGAAGTAAATGGGCCGGGCGCGGTGTCTCAAGCCTGTAATCCCAGCACTTTGAGAGGCCGAGGAGGGCAGATCACGAGGTCAGGAGGTCAAGACAATCCTGGCCAACATGGTGAAACCCTGTCTCTACCAAAAATGCAAAAATTAGCCAGGTATGGTAGCAGATGCCTGTAATCCCAGATTCTTGGGAGGCTGAGACAGGAGAATCGCTTGAACCAGGAGGTGGAGGTTGCAGTGAGCTGAGATTGTGTCACTGCACTCCAGCCTGAATGACAGAATGAGACTTCATCTCAAAAAAAATAAAGAAGCAAATGTCAGGAGTGGTGTGATACATTTAGACAGATATGACTTGATTATAAGCCACAGGGGACTAGAGTTTGAGAGAAGCGCAGCCCAGGAGAAACAGCTCTGGTCTAAGAAGGTAAAAACAGCAACTAGCTCAAGGCCACACTAACAGCCTCTTGATTTCAAACACATTATGACCCTGTCCCCCTTGTCCGCTGCTCCCCTGGTCCTTCTGTGTTAACCCAGAATTTATGAACCAAGACTCGACATGTTTCCAACTCAAGTCCCACATGGGAATTAGAACTCCAGGACTTACCAGTCTTCAGGTCTGCAAGTAGAAAGATGCACTGTTCTTTTTCATAACATTTCCAGGGTTTCCCACTACAGGAAGTTCCATTAGATTCATAACAAGCAGGGCACTCTATGCTGCTGGACACATTCTTCAGTGGAGGGTCTGGTGGAGTAAGAGTCATGACTCAGGACAGTGTTATCAGACAGAACGTGGGAGGAAGGGGATAAACCACACCCTTCCTTGGGGATAAGCCAAGCAAATAAACCACCGAAGACATCCCGAGACTGGAGGAATCGCATCATTGGGAATCTCAGATGTAGCCTGGAAAACACCATGTCCCCTCAAAATATTTCCTACACACTCCGTAGATCTGACCTCACAGACTCTCTCATCTTCACGAACTATGACCCATCAGTGAGTTGGGGTATAGACTGAGAATGGCAAGATTTTGAGCTGAAACCAAACTATAGTCAAGGTCAGCATTCGCCAGCCATTCTGAACATGAGCCAGCAAGTGTGTGACTGTTACTAACTCTTGCTCTGAACAAATGAACACAGGCCATTACTTAACATTATCACTAGAAGAAGAAAACGCACAATGAGACCAGTTCTGGGGTTCATTAACTGTGCTTTATGACCATGGTCAATAAACTTTGCCTTTTCAGCCATATTTTCTGTTCTTCAGAAAGAGAGCTGTGGTCTAGATCAGCAGATCTCAAATTATGGTCCGGTAACCCCTGAGTCCCTGAGACCCTTGCAGGGAGTACTGCAATGTTCAAAGAAGATCCATGATAATACCAAGATACTATTCACTTATTTTACTCTCTTTCTCTTGAGAATGTAAAGTGGAGCTTTCCAGAGGCTACATGATGTGTGAGACTCTAACAAACAGACTAATGCACAAGTTAATATGAGAATCCAGCTGTCTTCTATTAAGCCAGAAACTAAACACTTTACAACATGTATAATAACAATACCACTCATCCCATTTAATATCTTTCTTTTGGAAAATATAGTTATTTCTATGTAAAAACATTATTAATGTTGATGTGTAATGCGTTTTGGTTATTCTGGAGAACCAGTTACAATTTCTAAATTGTCTTGGCTTTAATTTCTAAGATAGATGGAGTCCACATAAATGAAAGTTCTTTGGGGTCCTCAATAATTTTTAAGACACAGAGTGGTAACTGAGAGCCTGAGATCACATAATTTGAGAACGACTGATGGGCACTAAGAATGCCCCTCACACAGCCTGAGTGCTTGCACTGTGTGTCCTCACTAAGAAAGAGGGGAGGCTTGGTGGAAGTGCTGTTTGGCCCGTCTGTTTCCTACATAATTGCTGTAAGTCCGAGGTTAACGCTATCCGGATATGCACTGAAGTGCCTGCACTTGCAACGTCCACCCGAGGGAAAGGAGAACAGGTGAAAAAGGGAGATCCAGGGCTTGGAGGACACAGGAGGCTGCCCGCAAGGCCAGCACCCACCCAGGGCATCGCTGGTGCTGTTACACTCCTTTCCTTGACAGCACTGGCTCACAAAATGAAAGCGTTCTTCAGCAGACACGTGGACAGTGAAGGCTGTAACAGGTGCCTCCTCACTGCAGTTCTCCGCGGAGCAGGACATACTCTGGTATGATCCGCTTGCTCTCTCTACACAAAGACAAACACAGACTGTCAGCCCCTGGTAAGGAGCGGGTGTGGGGAGGGTGGGGACCCTGAATTGCAAGTGCTTCAGGCAAAGGCAGAAGGTGCAACCACAGTTCAATGCAGTTTTAAAGACGCTGGAGAGGGTTTTCTGGAAATAGTAATAAGAATAATAATAATTCTTCCCCATCAGGTAGCTCTTTCTTTCAGTCGGAGACTATCAGCAGTGCAGGTTAAACTCCAGGCAAAAGGCTGATGGGGAGCCTGAAAATGGGTGGTCCAGGTGAACAGCCCCTGAAGCCAATAGAAAGTCTTAAGATCTGTGAAAATGATCAAACAGATGTGATGAGCCTTATGTACAATATGACATCCGAAGTTCCTGCCTAAAAATTGAACCTGAATCCAGTCAAGCTTCTAGCCAGAGCTATCTAATATGGTAGCCACTAGCTATTTGTACCTATTTAAATTTAAATTTTATTAATTAAAATCTAATCAAATTTAAAATGAAGTTCCTCGGTCATAGTAGCCATATTTCAATATTTCCAGTGCTCAGTAGCCATGTGTGACTACGGTATGGGATAGTGTTACTGCAGATAAGTCCCTCATTGAAGAAGGTGCTACTAGACAGAACTGATTCCCTCCACAAGAAACAATGAGAACAGGAGAACAAGTCAAATGGTACCACTAGGAAGCAATCAACCACAGCTAGAAAATGGGACAGCTACAGGGCAAACGACCCTCTTCTCCAACAAACCAACAGAATTGAACAAAAAGTGACGGAAGCTGTTATAAAACAAATGAGGCTTAACAGACCTAACAGCAAAATGCAATGTGGGGATTTTGCCTGGATCCTAACTCCACACATAGACCATATCATGCATGACATGTTTGAAACAACTGAGAAATGTTTAAGATGGCCTGGGTATTAGAAGAAATTAAAGAATTACAGCTAACTTTCTTGATATGATAACAGTATGTGTCTTAGTTCATTTTGTGTTGCTATAACAGAATACCATAGATTGGGTAATTTATAAAGAAAATAAATTTATTTTTTATGGTTCTAGAGTCTGGGAAATACAATATTAAAGTTCCAGCCTCCTCTGGGGAGGACTTTCTTCTGCATCATCCCATGGCAGAAGAGCAAGAGAGAGTGACAGCAAGTGAGGGAAAGAGAGGGTCAGACTCCCTTTCATCAGGAACCCACCTCCACATTAATGATGCTTATCCATTTACGAGGGTGGAGTCCTCATGCCTAATCACCTCTTAATACAATCACAATGGCAATTAAGTTTCAACATTAGTTTTGGAAGGAATATCCGAACCATAGCAGTATGATATTTATGTAAAAAAAAAAGTATTATCAGAGATACATAGTGAAGCATTTACGGAGAAAATGACAAACGACATGTACATACACACACATTATATAAATATAAATATGTGGAGAACGATCCAAGATGGCCGATCGCTAACATCCCGAGATTGCAGCTCTCAGGGAAGGCGCGGAGAACTAGAGGACGCCACACTTTCAGACAAAGTCTGGTTGCTCACGGAGCAGAAGATCCCCCAGTGGAGGAAACACACAGGTCGCCAGCGTGACTCTCGTGGCCGGCGCAGCAGCTCTCGGAGCAGAGTAAACAGGTTCGGAAGACCCGCACGGGCCCCCAGCACAAAACCAGAGCCCGGCGGAGCCGCTGTGACGGCACCTCGGCGCGAGAGCGCTTGGCGCAGAGTAAACGGGACGGGTTCCCCTTCTGACCGAGGTTTGGAGTCCTGGGAAGGCAGAGTCGCCTACTACGGACACAAGAAGGAAGCCAGACAGGAGAATCCTGGGCAGAAAAGCACCAGCAGTTTTAACGCTGCTGCTCTGGCCCTGGGAACTAACAACCTGGACGTCCACTCAAGAGACCTAATCTGAAAGTTGGTAATTTCAAAGACGACAGGAGGATAAATTTGCAATGATGGGAAGAAACCAGCGTAAAAAAGCTGAGAATACTCAAAGTCAGAACGCCTCTCACTCTAAAGATGACCACAGTTCCACATCGACAATGGAACAAGGCTTGATGGAGAACGAGCGCATCCTGATGACAGAATCACTCTTCAAGAAATGGATAATAACAAACTTCGGTGAGTTAAAAGAACATGTTGTAGCCCAACGTAAAGAAACTAGGAACTTTGAAAAAAGATTTGATGAAATCCTATTGAGAATAGACAACTTAGAGAGGAGTATGAGTGAATTAATGGAACTGAAGAATACAATACAGGAACTCCGAGAGGTATGCACAGGTTTAAACACTCGAATTGTTCAAGCAGAAGAAGGGATATCAGAGGTCAAAGTCCAACTTAATGAAATAAAATGTGAAGAAAAGATTAGAGAAAAAAGGATAAAAAGGAATGAGCAAAGTCTCCAAGAAATGTGGGACTATGTGAAAAGACCAAATTTACATTTGATAGGTGTACCTGAATGCGATGGAGAGAATGAATCCAAGCTGGAAAATACCCTTCAGGATATTATTCAGGAAAATTTTCCTAAACTAGCAAAGCAGGTCAACATTCAACCCCAGGTAATACAGAGAACACCACAAAGATATTCCTCAAGAAGAGCAACCCCAAGGCACATAATCGTTAGATTCACCAGGGTTGAAACGAAGGAGAAAATACTAAGGGCAGCCAGAGAGAAAGGTCATGTTACCCACAAAGGCAAGCCTATCAGACTTACAGCAGATCTCTCAGCAGAAACTCTACAAGCCAGAAGAGAGTGGGGGCCAATATTCAACAACCTCAAAGAACAGAACCTTCAGCCCAGAATTTCATATCCAGCCAAACTAAGCTTCACAACTGAAGGAAAAATAAAATCTTTTATGAACAAGCAAGAACTCAGAGATTTTATTACCACCAGGCCTGCTTTACAAGAGCTTCTGAAAGAAGCATTACACACAGAAAGAAACAACCAGTATTAGCCTTTCTAAAAATACACCATAAAGTAAAGAGCACCAACATAAAGAAGAATTTATACCAACGAATGGATAAAACAGCCAGTCAACATCAAATGTCAGTAACCCTAAATATAAATTGACTAAATCCCCCAATCAAAAGACACAGCCAAAACCCAACAGCATGTTACATCCAGACCTGTTTCACATGCAAGGATACACAAAGACTCAAAACAAAGGGATGGAGAAAGATTTACCAACCAAGTGGAGAGCAAAAATAATAAATAAATAAAAAGCAGGAGTTGCAATTCTCGTATCGGATAAAATAGATTTTAAAGCAACAAAGATACAGTGGTAAAAGGATCAATGCAACAACAAGAGCTAACGATCCTAACACCCAGATACGAGACTTAGATTCAATGAGACAGAAAATTAATAAGGATATCAAGGACTCGAACTCAGATCCGGAACAAGTAAACTTAATAAATATTTATAGAGCTCTCCACTTCAAATACACAAAATATACATTCTTGTCAATACCACATCACACCTACCCATAAGTTTAAATGAAACATTGATTGGCCATTATTAATACCCAATTTTTTTCAAAATAAAGCAATATTTCCATTTACTCTCCCTCTTTTTCTTCCTCTTTCTTCCTCTCCTTTACTTATTTTTTTTTTTCTTTCCTTCTCTCAAAAAAAAAGAAATCAACTTGTAAACCTCTAGATCCAGGTCCGCAATGTCTCTCTCATTGCTTGATTTCCTTCCTTCCCTTCCCTCCCTCCCTCCCTCCCTGCTTCCTCCCTTCCTTCCTTCCTTCATCCCTTCCTTCCTCCCTACCGTCCTTCTTCCCTCCCTTCCTGCCTTCCTCCCCCCCAAAAATAAATAAATAAATAAATATAAATATGTATATGTATATTTATGTAATGTGTACTTTAAAATGCCATAGCCAAAAATACTATATTAAAAAAAACATAGCCAAAAAATAGCAAAATGTTAATAACTGCTGACATAGGGTAGTGGTTACATGGCGATTTGTTATACTCTTCTTCCTACTTTAAACATACATAAAGTATGTTTGAATGTGTCTATTAGAAAAAAGTTAAGAACCCTAAGTGCTCTGAGAAAGCGGTTATAGTAATGGTTACACTCAACACACCCTGTGGGGAAGTCCTGAGTGAGGAAAGTATGTTTGATCTAGAAGAGGAGGAACCGTGAGGAAGAGAAAAGGGGCTGGGGAAAAGGAAGAATGAAAGCATCCTGAGCAAATCTGCCTGGTAATTTAAGAGCTGCCCTTGCTTCTCACATCCACTTATCCGTGTCTAGAATGACGCTTTGTGATCAAGGGCAGCAATTTCCAAAGCACGCCAGGGATTCTTGTCTGCACCGTCCCTGTTCTTGTCTGGCTTCTGCTTGTCTCAGCCATGCGCTGTTTCTCCTGGGAATTGCCTTTGGAAGTTCCTCTCCCCTTGCACAGCATGTCCCCATCTCTGCCTTTCTTTCCTCCCTGGTCATCCTCTCCAGCTCCCTCCCACTGCCAATCCCAGAGGCAGCAAGGACATACACCCAGACTCACCTAAAGAAGAGTTGGCTGAGGAACTGATACAGCTGGTGTTGGCATGTGAGGGACATTCAGTGGCAGTGCTGCTGACACAGGACTTTCCCCACGAATTACACTGCACACAGCTCAGGGATTCTGAGGAGAGAAGATACCCAACGTCTGGCAATTTCAGTGGACACTTATAGAGCATACTCTATGCTAGGAAAAGCACTGCTCCCACCTTGCAGTAAAAGACACAGACGGAGTGGCATCGCTGCCCTCTGGGGATCCCCAAAATTGATGCTATGAGATGGAGCCACCCTAATTAGTTTCTTCCGCTGCTCACTATTCCCCAGTGGAAAGATCCAACCTTGAACAACAGTACAGAGTGGCCCCATTGAAAGCCGGCTGCACAGATAGGTCCCCTGGTCTTCCCTGACCACAATGTAACACGTGAGGCCCTCAGGGCTTTGAGAGCCAGAAGACACTGGTGAGATGGAAAAGGGGGTCTCCATTTTAAAGACGGGCCCGTGACTTCTCTTACCTACAGCGGAAACCAGAAGCACTGCCATGAGACCAGCAATGAGGATGCCCTTCATGGCGCTGGAGCTGACTTCTCCCAAGGATGGGGCCATGGAGCTTCAGGCCTAAAGAGACAAAAAGAAGGCAGCCCTAGGCCCTTGAAGGGCTGCCTGTCATCCCCTGGGGGTTTTAATCACACTGTAACAAGCCCAGTACTCAGTCCATCCTTGTGGCAGAAAGAATCAAAGTCCTGAGCTGGGAGCGAAAAGCTGTGACACAGATTCCAGCCCGCCCCACACAGAAGTCCAAGTTCTCTTCATCTCAGCCTGCAGTAGCATCTATGCATGGATTTGAAACACAGCCAGGGGGCATTTCCCCTGGAGCCAATTCAGTTGCAAAAATGCGCAGGCAGATTAATTTTTAGTTTCACTGGGGATGGGGTCCAAGAGGAAAGAGCTGGCTGGGGTCTGTGCCCCTCCCTCCCCCAGAGCACAACGGCCCTCCTCCAGCCTGCTGCTCACTCATTCATATTTTACACTTAGAGTTCTGTTGCTGCCACCTCCTCCACAACAGGTAGACACCTATTGAGCACTTACTCTGTTCCAAGCACTTTATAGGTATCAATTCATGTAATTCACCTACTGTAGCAGCAAGTACTATAACTAGCATCCCAAGAAAAATCAAGCGTTAGCAGGGTTCGGTAATGCACTCAAAGTCGAGGTCTTACTTCTGGGAGGTATCAGAACTGGAGTTGAGCGTCTGTCCCTAACCGCCAGCGCCTCCCAGGGTCCTCAGCCTGGACACACTCAACCTGCAGCACCAAATCAGAGTCTCCCATGCACTTCCGAGTCGTGTGTCGCCAATCTCTCCGCACCTTGCGTTCCCTGCCTGCAGATTGTCTGAATTATAGACCTTTGGGGATTGCTAAGGTTTGGTTGCATTCGTGAGAATTCTGAATTAGAACTCCCAGAATTTCAACTTGCTTGTGTGTGAAAGCAGCACAGAGGGCAGGTGTCTGGCTCTGCCCTGAGCGCTTCTTAATCACTATCTCATCTACCCTATACACGGTTTCCGTGAGCCACACATGGCGATTTATGATTCTCCCAGGTTAAAGTGAAGCATTCTGTTTTTCAGTAGCACCGCCACATTCCAAATGCTAAGGGGCCACATGAGGCTGGCGGCTGCTGTATTGGCCACTACAGGCACAGGACATTTCCATCATTGCGGAGAGGCGCATGGGACAGTACTGTGTGACAGAGGCTATCACCCCACTCCACAGGTGCGAAAACTGCAGCGTGGAGGGATAACAAAGTGACCGAACTCGCTCAGCTTACAAGAGCCAAAGTCAGTGCTCTATTCTAGGACCTCCCAGCTCCAAAGGCTAGCTGCCCCATAATAGCTGCTACTGACTGAGACAGAACAGCCTTCACCTGGAAGCCCCTACTCCCACCTCAACACACACGCGCACCACATCACGCACCACAGGCACACCACTCACACACACCACACACATCACACACACACCACATCACACACCACAGGTACACCACTCACACACACCACACACATCACACACACACCACTCACACACATCACAGACATCACACACACACCACATACCACACACACACCACACATACATCACATCACACACCACACACATCACACAAACACCACACATACACCACATCACACACACACCCCACACACCACACATACACCACATATACAAATACCACATCACACACCACACACATACACCACACACACCACACACCCCACATATCACACACACACTGCACATACACATCACACACCACACACATGCCACACACCAGACATCACACACACACATACACCACATCATACACCACACACATCACACACCACACACACCACATCACGCACCACAGGCACACCACTCACACACACCAATCACACACACCCCACTCACACACACCACACACATCATACACACACATCACGCACCATACACACACCACTCACACACATCACAGACATCACACACACACCACATACCACACACACACCACACACACACCACATCACACACCACACACACAAACACCACACATACACCACATCACACACACACTGCACATACACATCACACACCACACACATGCCACACACCAGACATCACATACACACATACACCACATCACACATCACACACACACCACATCACACACCGCACACACACCACTCACACACACCACACACATCATACACACACATCACACACCATACACACATCACTCACACACATCACAGACATCACACACACCACATACCACACACACACCACACACATCACACAAACACCACACATACACCACATCACACACACACTACACATACACATCACACACCACACACATCACACACACACCACATCACACACCGCACACACAGCACTCACACACACCACACACATCATACACACACATCACACACCATACACACACCACTCACACACATCACAGACATCACACACACACCACACACATCACACGAACACCACACATACACCACATCACACACACACTGCACATACACATCACACACCACACACATGCCACACACCAGACATCACACACACACATACACCACATCACACACCACACATCACACACACACCACACACATCACACACCGCACACACACCATTCACACATACCACACACATCATACACACGTCATGCACCATACACACACCACTCACACACATCACAGACATCACACACACACCACATACCACACACACACCACACACACCACATCACACACCACACACATCAAACACCACACATACACATCACACACACACACCCCACACACCACACATACACCACATACACAAATACCACATCACACACCACACATATACACCACACACACCACACACACCACATATCACACACACACTGCACATACACATCACACACCACACACATGCCACACACCAGACATCACATACACACATACACCACATCACACACCACACACATCACACACACACCACACACATCACACACACACCACACATACATCACATCACACACCCCACACCCCACACATATACCACATACACAAATACCACATCACACACCACACCACACACCCCACATATCACACACACACTGCACATACACATCACCCACCACACACATGCTACACATCACACAACACACACAACACACACACAACATATCACATGACACACATCACATATCACATGTCACAAACACTACACACACAGCACATACATATACCACATACACAAGCACTACACTACACACCACACACACACACCACACATACACCATACCACACACACAGCACACACAGCACACATCACATGTCACACATATTACATACATGCTGAACACACACAACACACATTACATGTCACACCACACGCATCACACACCACATACACAAGCTTCACACTACACACCACACACACACCCCACACACATCACAAGTCACACACTTCACACACACAACACACCATGCACTAAATACATCACACATACTAGACATATACACCACACATCACACACCACACATCACATGTCACACACATGATACACACACAACACACCACACACCTCACACACATATCACACCCAGCACACATACACCATATGCCTCCACACACAGAGACACATACACACCACCCACACTCACATACACACACCCCATATGCCATTTATACCACATGCCGCAAACATTACATACACACAATCATATACGCAATACACACACCACACACAAACACCACACACCCTACTGTGACACCCCGGTTGACTTATTAGGGGTTGGTAAAAGGAAGGGAAACCAGCCGGTCAGGAGAGAAGAGGCCGCACCGGCAGCCCCACCATTTAGAGATAAAGGAGGGTAATAAAGCACATCTGGAGCTTGTAAGCAGACATACGCCAGCCCTGCACCCTACACAACTGCTCATCCCTCCAGGCCAGGAGCCTCAGCTGCCTGCTTTTCTCTTCAGTAGGAAGAGAGTTTCAGGGGCCCGGCCTTCGGGGAAAGGGCCTCTCAAGTCTTACAGTGTCATGGAGGAGGGGAAAGGAGAGATGAAATAAGATGAGATGATGAGATGAAAGGGATCCCAGCAGCACATCAAGTGCACAAATCATCTCAGCCTACAGTGAAGACCTGGAAACTAGCCTCATCTTCAGGTAGAAATGACGGAGGCCCAGAGAGGTCAGGACTGGCCCAGGGACACACAGCAGAGAAGCAGAGCCTGGGAGTGAGTGACCCCATAGCAGGACCCAGGCCTTGCTCACCACCTCTTTGGGTAAGAGGGACCAGTGAAGCTGGGGTCCAGGCAGGGGCCCTGTGTGGAACATGAGACATGGCATCTGAGGCCCTTTTGCTAGGTACTTCCCACTTGCAAAGTTTCACTGTTGAATCTTTCCAACAGCCTGGCAGGGGCCTGTTATAACTGCTGTCATCTTTCGCACAGAAAGCTGGAGCTCAGAGAGCTATGAGGACACAATACCACACAGAATGAAGGCGGTCACACAAAGAATGATGCACAGAACACACACACACTGCACACAAACAACACACAGAATAGCAGATGGCAAAACAACAAGAAAAGTCTGTTCCCAGCCCACATCCTCCCTGCACTCCAGACTTCCCTCTCCTGAGCATGCGACTGCCCGGGGCAATGCCAAAGGAGCCACAAGAATGTCCAAGACCTGGCCGGGCGGACCTGAGCTGGCCCTGAATGCCCTCCTGTGGTTTCAGCTTCTCCCAGGGCTCAGGCCCCAGCCTTGTGGTCCTCTCACCTTCTGGATCTGGCCTGGTGACTGTCCTACGGAAGGTGGATCCTGGCAGAGGCTTAGAACTGGTGTGGGAGAGGACTTATATAGCAGGTGGCTGTACAATCAACAGCACAGCTGTCTTCTGGGGAGGGACTTCTGTGTCAGACAGGCTAAGGCTTCTGGCTGTCAGACTGTACCCTGCCCAACCATATGGCTACTGTGCAGCTGGTGTCCTCTCTGAGACCTCTAGGAATTGGGAACAACTTTGCACAAGGCCTGCCTTTGGCAAAATGTAAACAGGACCAACATATCTTCCAGCATTGGCTGTGGCCTCCTAAGTCAATTCCATGGCCTGCTGATGACAAGCATCACGTCATGACAAAGTGTCAATCGCCGTTATTAGCCCATTTATAGATGAGAACACCAAAGCACAGAAAGAGAAACATGTGAGAGATGCTCATGGGCACACAGCTGGGGCAGGGGCAGAACTCAGAGCTCAGAATCAGGCTACATGGGGGTCCGTGCAACTCAGGAGATGGGCTCCGGTTCCCAGGGGCAAGTGTCTCAACCTTGTTAAATTTGAGGGTCCTCCAGCCAAGACGAGTGTAAACTCACTGTGCAGCCTCACAGTGCGGTGGTAGAGGAGCTGTGAAGGTCAGCCCCGCCCACAGTGTGCTCTATACACCAGGTGAGGGCCTGCAGCAGCACTCAAGAAGGTTTCTGGCCAGGTGATCTGAGCAGCTACTGGTAAAAGCCCAGGTCAGGTCAACTGAGATCTCTCTGTATTAGTTTCTCTAGATCACATGATCACAAGGTGAAGTCCCACAACAGGCCATCTGCAAGCTGAAGACCAAGGAAGCCAGTCCAAGTCCCAAACCCTCAAAAGTAGGGAAACTGACAGTACAGCCTTCAGTCTGTGGCCAAAGGCCTAAGAGCCACTGTCAAAACACTGGGGTAGGCTCAAGAGTCTAAAAGCCTAAGAACTTGGAGTCCCAGGATTGAGGGCAGGAAGCCTCCAGCACAGAAGAAGGATGGAGGCCGGAAGTCAGCCAGTCAAGTCCTTCCACGTTCCTTGGCCTGCTTTTATCCCGGCTGTGCTGGCAGGGCTTTGACGGTGCCCACTCAGACGAGGGTGGGTCTACCTCTCCCATTCCACTGACTCATGTTAATCTCCTCTGGCAACACCCCACAGATACACCCATGATTAATACTCTGCAATACTTTTCAATCCAATCATGTTGACACTCAGTATCAACCATCACACTCTCCAGTCTCCTCACACGCTGCCATGGGTGCTCCAGGTTTTGAGTGTGGACTTGAGTTATCTTCCCTCCTCATCTTGCCACTTTACACACACACACACACACACACACACACACACACACACACACGGTGGGGAGTGTGGAGAGCCCACTCAGCCAAGGATGCAGAGGTTGAGGAATACACATCATTCCAGTATCCCCAGGCTGCATTTCAACCTTGCAGTTCCCTGCTCTTGAAAATACCCCTTGAGGCAGGGCACCATGGCTCACACCGGTAATTCCAGCACTTCGGGAGGCAGAGGCAGGCGGATCAGGAGGTCAGGAGTTCAAGACCAGACTGACCAACATGGTGAAACTGCCATCTCTACTAAAAAATACCAAAATTAGCTGGGCATGGTGGCTCGTGCCTGTAATCCCAGCTACCTGGGAAGCTGAGGTAGGAGAATTTCTTGAACCCAGACCAGGGAGGTGGAGGTTGCAGTGAGCCGAGATCACGCCACTGAACTCCAGCCTGGGGTATAGAGCAAGACTCCATCTCAAAAAAAAAAAAAAAAAATACCCCTTGGCCATTTGTTACCCTAGCCTGTGTCTCAGCTCTCTCTTCTTTCCCCAAACTCAGGCATTCATTCGACAAACACTTTTTGAGCACCCTGCACGTCTCAGGCCTACAGTAGGAAACTGGGAGGAAAAAGACAAAGACCTTTGTCCTTTTGGAGCGTAGTCTAGAGAGGACTACAAACACCACCAATGGATACGGCAAATAAGCAAATGACAGGGAAAGTCAGGATGTGGTGACTGCTCTGGCAAAAGGACAAAGAATAGGATAAGGCATTAACCATACTGGGGAGGCAGGCAAGTGTAGGGTTCCACTTTCAAAGAGGAGGCTGGAGTCGGTCTCATGGAGAAGACAAAATTTGAGTTATTTTTAAGAGCAGAGACTCTGGCTGTCTCTCGTTCTCTCCTCTCCTCACCATCTGCCTTCAGGCTGCTTGCCACAGCATTTTCCTAAACAAAAGTCATCTCCTTCCTAACAGAATCTTATTGTTTCCCACCACACACTAGTCAGCCACCTGGCAGCACACAAGAGAACTGGGCCCAGCAATAGACAATGGGTTTGAGGGTATCATGAATGTGGCCTCCCTGAGCCACAGGTGGAGGGCCGGAAGAGCCCATGAACGCTGCTTTGGAGATAACAGCTCTGGTGTCAGGCTGAGTATGACACAGGAAAATTGGATTAGTCAATGCTAACTCCTCTCTGAAGGCACCAGATACCCAGGCAAATGGACCCAAAGTGACCAGAAAGATCTGGGTCTGAATCCAGACTTTGTCCCTCACATCACCTAAGTTAGTTATTAACCTCACTCATTGGGTCAGAGTCTTTAAAAGGGGATCATCAGGCCCTGATTACCTATGTATTCCTGGAATCCTCAACCCATTCTTCTGTGCTTTTTCCAAAGCCATCTATCTATCAATAATGTCATGAGGCTGTCTAACCATGTGGGAATTGCTATTAACAGCATGTGTGAGTTTAACTGGGGCCCTTTATCAATAAGGACACTGAAGACAATAGCAGCCCCTGAACTGGGCTTTGCAATCTACATGGCTGCTCACAGCAGTCCTGGATTCATTCCTTTTGAGGCTCCAGGCAGTGTCCCAATGGGTGTCACCAGCTGCCTTGACAGATAAAGAAACAGATCCAGGGAGGCCTTCCCTGTAGGCCTTCAGACGCCTGGGCCAGCAATCTTTCCATCTCAACATGGCTCAGGTGGGACCCAGCCTCCACCCAAAGGATTGGAAACATTGACTAAACTTCTTTCCTCCCCTTCCAGGGGTCACCTCTCTGTTGTCAATGTGGGGTCCAAGGGCTTGGGCCAGTCACAAAGAATAATGAAAAAGCACCCCGCTAAAGCAGAGTCCTCCTGACTAGCCAAGAACTCCAGAGACTCAGGAGAAGCTAAGTCTCAACAAGCAGCCTAACTTTAAGAAGCCTTGGACACATCTTAGGCTCCCTGGCTTCAATGTCTTCTTAGAAAAGGACAAGGTTGCTTGTCCTTGCAACCTGCTGAGCTGAGGCAAACTTGGAGCTCAGCTGAGTCCCAGAGAGTCATCCTGGGGTGTCCATCTGGAACCACTTTGAGAAATGGACTTTTCCTGAAGTTTCCCTCGATGACCAGCAAAGCTTGGAGGTGAGTTTCCAGGGGATTCCACCCCATTTTAGAATAAGCATGTGTAGATGTGTAGGGTCAGGTCAGGGAAGCCAGAGCAGGAATTCCAACTAACAGAAGTCCAAGCCAAAAACTCAGCAAAAGAATCAAGAACATCCACCCCTGACCCTCCTTCTCTCTGTGTTTGCTTCTAGGAGACTTTCATTGACTAGCTTATTCCTCCAGCTTGGAAATGTGAGAAAATAGGCTAAAAAGAATGAATTATTGCCCCCAACATTCCTGCCCTCCAGTCACCGTGCAAAGGAAATGAGCATATCCTGAAAAATAAACTTCCCCAATAGTCCATGGCCTTATGGAAGACAGTGATCCCCTGAGTCTTGGGTTTCCCATCTTTCAAATGGCAAAAACGGCACTAACACCTGAGAAGCTATTCTGCGGATTGAAGGAGGTCACACAGGTAGACGTTGAGAATGAAACTATCACATCATAAAAAGCTCTAAAAACAATGGCTACTGCTGCTATCATTGCTCTATGAGCTCATATCGGGGAATGCACAGCCCAGGAGGACACTCACATCTGCACAGGGCAGTGCTTTACGGTGAGGCCCAGGCTCAGAACACACTTCTGCCACCTACCAACTGAGTGGGCTAAGGTTACACAATTCTTTATCCAAGAGAAAGTCACAGCTACAGCTCCAATACTTAACTTGTTGTAAAGATCACCAGATTTTAAAGTTACCTTTACCTTATCGATAAGTTATACCAAAACATCCTTTTAAGCTCTTCATTTGCACCATTCCTTCCAATGAGCAGGGAAGCCCAGTTAAACTGCCAGTGATTGAGTCTGGAATGAAATCAGCTAATTATATGAGAAAATTGTTAATATAACCATTTCCCTAAAAACTCCAGGCTCTAAATATAGGGCATATTTGAAGAATTATTGCATCCAGCACTAGATATCTGGTTTTTCCGTACAATCTACCAATACAGATCTCCACTAATGCTGGCAAAAAAAGAAAAAAAAAAACAGGACTGGTCTGACTCCTATTTATACCAGTTATTAGCTGTATGACCTGCTTAAGACTCTTAGTTCCCCAATCAAAACAGAGACAACACATGGATAGGAAGAATCAATATTGTGAAAATGGTCATACTGCCAAAATTAATTTGTAGATTAAATGCTATTCCCAACAAACTACCATTGACTTTCTTTGAAAAATTAGAAAAAGCTAATTTCAATTTCATATGGAACCAAAAAAGAGCACATATGGCCAAGACAGTCCTAAGCAAAAAGAACAAAGCTGAAGGCATCATGCTACCTGACTTCAAACTATAATACAAGGCTACAGTAACCAAAACAGCATGGTACTGACACCAAAACAGATATATAGACCAACAGAACAGAACAGAGACCTCAGAAATGACACCACACACCTACAACCATCTAATCTTTGACAGCCCTGACAAAAACAAGCAATGGGGAAAGGATTCCCTATTTAATAAATGGTTTTGGGAAAACTGGCTAATCATATGCAGAAAACATAAACTGGACCACCTCATTACACCTTATACAAAAATTAACTCAAGATGGATTAAAGACTTAAATGAAAAACCTAAAACCATAAAAACCCTAGAAGAAAACCTAGGCAATACCATTAAGGACAGGCATGGGCAAAGACTTCATGACTAAAACACCAAAAACAATGGCAACAAAAGCCGAAATTGACAAATGGGATCTAATTAAACTAAAGAGCT